AAAATAGATCATAATAAAATATAATATAAAACTAATATAATATCAATAAAATAATATAAAATAATGTTTAAAAATATTTATAATATTACAATATATTCATTATTGTGGGGTGTAGATCCCATAGCTTAATAGTTAAGCTCTTATACCCCTATAGTCAAGGTCAATAGTTCAAGTCTGACTGGAGGTAAAATCGAAAGATTTTAGCTTCTGTAACTGAAAGGAGCCTGTAATTGAACATGAAGCTCTGTGGTCAAGTCCAAGTGCAGTATATGACAGAAAAAGGAATTTCTGGAAGAAAACTGACTTTGCAAAATGTGGGCACTACATGTGATAGCAGCATCACAAAAAGTTCCATTATACAAAAAGGGCTGCGCATGTAAGTCCTCTGGAGATGGAACAGTACCAACATCTCTGCATTCAACTTGTGAAGTACTTGATTGGGAGGGTAATACCAAGATAACATGAACTAGAGTGGTGAGAAAAGTGGTGCATGCATAGAAGGTTTGTAACAAAGAATTAGCCTTATCAAGATTAGAAGCACCTTTGGCACTGTAGAACGACTAAGAATAGAAGGTAACCATCCACATAGAGAAGTTGTAGCCTGTTTTGTACGTCTAAAGGTTCCAAATCGGAGCTCTGGTCACACCTATATGAAAGTCTATAATGAAACAAGTAGAACATACCAACATAAATGCTGTATCAATCATGGTTGAGATACCTAAATTGAAAGTAGAAACCTACTCGAACACTATATGGACATCTTAGTCTAAATGTAGATTCAGGCTAGGATGTTCTTAAAAAGGCAGGAAGATTGGTCACAGTTGGAAACAGAATAAAGGAAAGCCTGCAGTATAGTGCAACAGTAGTGAAAATGTTGGTCAATGGTTAGAAGAGGATGTGTACTCATTCCTGAAATAGAGTTCTATCTATATTATAAAAGAGACTACTTAAGAGGCAGGTTAGATGTACAATCCATTGGAAATGATGCTAAGACCAAAAAGGGTTGCAAACTAGCAGCGGTAGCAGGAACCTGGCTTGAGATACATGTTATCAGTACCTGAATTGGAAAGTTAGCAGTAGCAGCAAGAACCTGGCTTGAAATATATACTAGAGAGGCATCCTTTGGGCAAACTAAAGATGGTAGCTCAAAAGGAGCGAATGACTTGGTGGACCAATTTGGGAGTTGTAAAAATAGGTTGTGAGATATGGAAGGAATATGTAGGTTATCTAATATAATTAGTAGTGAAACAAAAATCTAGGTTAAGTATGAGTGGAACACAATACAAAACTCTGGTAGGTTTAGGTTGCAGATAAATATGTCTGAGTCTTATGTCTGAATAGATATATAGTGATAGATGATGTATAATAGATTTGTACTAGCTATAACAAGTATACTAATAAAGACTAGAGGGCATGACCTTATCTTAATACTGAAAAAAAAATATATATATATATTTATTATTGTATTTTATATTATATTTATTATTAGTTATTAGCATAGTTATATTATAGTATATAGTAGTTAGATAATAGAATTTTAATTAAATATTAGAAGTATAATACAGACACATGATATTGAGTAATATCTATAATGTCACTATTGTCTTACAAACTCCAAGTACTTCTATATAAATTTCATGTATTTTAGTACAATTTACTGTACCAAATACTACAGTACAAGAATTCTAAGTATCTCTAACATAATTTTCAAGTATTTCTATACAATCTCAAGTATCTCTAACACAATTTTTAAGTGTTTCTATACAATCCTAACTGTTCTTATACAGACTCAAACATCTTGACACAAGCTTCAAGTATTTCAAATACAAATGACAAATACATATAAACATTGTTTCAATTATCTCTGTACAAACTCCATTTGTCTTTACACAATTTCTATTATCTCAAATACATTATCAAAAGATGTTATTCAAACTCCTATTACCCTTACTAGGTAAAAAGATATATAAAAGATACCTTTTCTTCTTCTTTACTAATTTTAAATTTTTATACTTAAATCTAGACATAATGATCTTTTAATTATAAAATATGATATTCTCTCTTTAGGATAATTTTTACAGATAAGATTGTCACTATGTGTGTTGTTAATAAAAAGTTAATCTATATACTGTTATTATCTCAAACTGTTTGCCTGCTGCTGTGTAGTAAAATAAACTACTATATCTCCATCCTATATATATTTGCAATAGTCAATCACTATATCAGGTAATCTTGTTACTTGGTTGTATTATACCAAGAAGACTGCAACCCTGTAACAATAGATTTTAGTAAAACCTGTTATGCATATCATATTAGGATAAAATCCTCTTTTACATAACAATAATGATTTTTACCTGAATTTCATCCTTGTATTATATTTTAAGATGAATATTGTCAATCAATTCTATATAAGGTTTGTGTTACAGTAACAAATAAGTATACACCAACCTCAGTTCATAGATAAGTTGCTACGTAAAGTAAAATCAAAATTTCCAAATTCTGCTACGTATTTGAATTTTGAACCTATTGTTTAGAGAATAACAACCCAACCACTACACTAGGATCACGATCCTCGATTTTGAAACATTTTTAAACTCTTGTTAATACTATGCTTATGTGATCAAAAAACACGAAAATATTACGTACTATCTATTATTACTTTTTATAGAAAAAAGTAAAATTATGCTAATAAATAAAACATACATATATGAGTGTCGCTAAGGGAAAACCAGCAATTCTAAAAATAGATTTATGATGAATTTCATAATAAAACTATTGTATTTTTAGAATTGCGGGCTTTTCATATATTGTTTTTGATCGAGTCCTTATGGATCTGAAAGATCGGTTAAGACTCGATTTCAAAGAACCGAGTAACATCCCTAATTAAACTGGAAAGCAATAACAATAGAAGTTCTTTTATAACAAAACTTACGATTTTGATATATCTACGCCTACTTTTTGATACATCTAAATGCTTTTTTATATTAAAATCATGTGATTAATATATCACAGCCTTGAGCTAAATATAAGCATGATTATAAGCTTAATGGAACAGGAAGAATGTTAAATTATTTATATAGTTACTGAAATCTTATCTAAAAATCTATTTATTAAATACAAATTGGTTTAAATCGTATTTAGTCTTTTCAGAAGAATTAATAGTTTAAGTTTATAGTATATTAAAGATATAACCTAGTAGATTCATTAACAAACAAATCCTGTTCGCTATTAATACAAATACATAATTTAGCTATGTTTATTACAAAAGTATAATTTAAGTAGACATAATTTGCTTTATGAATTCTATAGATTATGATAATAACGTGTTAATGACAGAAAATTTTTCAAATTTGAGATTATGTTACTTGATACTGGCATACCTTCATATTTAATGTTACCATTTTTATCAACCTCGACTGTTTTCATTAATTCATCAACTTCTCCTTCGCTAAGTTTTTCACCAAGACTTGTCAACACTATCACGTAGAACGATAGTAAAATAGGTATTAACACAAAAGTGTGAAAAATAAAATTTAAGTAATAAGGATTTTTAAAAACCAACCATATCTTAATTCACCAGCAGATATGTATCCGCTTCGATCTTTGTCAAGAACTTGAAACCCTTCAACAAATTCTTCATAGGTGGCAGCTGGTGCAAATCCACCAGGGCGTTCAAGAATTTTTACAAAATTTTCAAAAGTAACTAAATAGGAAATACATTAATATCAGTAATGAATAAATTCATTAATTAAATTCGGGAGTTTTGAATGAATGACAATACACACTATTATTTCCAACTCCCTTAGTAAGTGCGACAACATCGGCTTGCGAAGGATTTTGTCCTAAAGCACGTAATAAGTCACCTAAAGCTTCAGGTGGAATAGTATCATTGCCTTTATTATCGAACAATTTGAAGGCTTGATAGTATTCTGTAGTAAAGAAATATTTGATTTGTTTAACCAAAAAAATCTACACACTATACAACTCCATGATGAGAAAAATCTATACCTTTTTTTTGCTCTTCCTTTGTCTAAAAAAATATATATGACAAACATGTATTTGTTCAGAAGAAATTAGAGAAGTCAACGCCAATAATAATTTGACTGCTATAATAACAATTCCAAACATACCATTTTTATTTATTGGAAGGTCAGTATTGAATTGTGTGAAAATACATCAATTTTTATGTCGAAAATCAGCATGTTACACGAGAATCTAAAGCTATGAAAGACTTGGTAAACTAGAAACATCGATAAGAATTTAAGATGTACCGACAATCAATATACGAACAGTTTTCTGAAGAGACAGCAAGTAAATTTTTTGAGTGTTCAATTTGTGTATTAAGAAGTAAAAGTGTTAAATATAATACTCAATTACATTCAATAAATTTTTCGAAATCTCTAAAGTTTTGAAACACTATGGACTTGATACTATGGATCCTGAATATTGGGTAGGAGAGAACGATGTCAGAAAATCCATTAGATATTCTTATGTAGAAAGGCCGAATAGTCAGATTGGTAACGGAGCCAGTGTAGGTGTGCTAGATGACAGATGGAGTTTGGATGATACTGATCCTCTGGGATTGAAAAAAAGTGTGCTTTGGTAACTTAAATTTAACATCTGACTTATAAATAAATTCAAGAGCAATGAATCGAATTGAATTGAATAATAAATTAAATAGGCACGATATGTCGTCTTCAAAACGTTCCACCCAAGATGTTCTTGATGAAATGCAAGAGAGTAAATATCATCATGAATATTTGTCATAATTTTGTATATATAATCTTATTGTCGAATTTATTTGTCAGAGTCACAATTACTGGTTGGCACAAAATCTTTCAACCCCAAGTATTTTTTATGGCAAGTTCACAAAGATACATCGTACAATGATTTATTGGCGGGCGCTGAACGTTTAAGATATACATTGGATCAGAAATCTGAAGCACTTCGAAATTTAGTACAAGATAATTTTGATCGATTTGTTAGTGCAAAAAATACGATTGACACTGTATATGGTGAAATGAAAACACAGAGCTTGAATGTTGATAATGATTATGGAGTAAGAGGATTAGATAATGCGCTCTTTGGTATAGTACCTCAACAATGCTATTGTTAAAAAAATTATCAATTGTCTTTTTTTTCAATTGACATGATTCAATTATGATAATTCAGAGGCGATAAACAGAGCTGAACAAGTCTTTGGACCGGTTTTGATTAATAGAAATAAAGCAGAAAAAATACGCAGCACATTAAGCGTTTTGGAAAAGTACAAATTTTTTTTTAATTTACCTAGTAGCCTTATGGAATCCATTAAACAGGTATAACGTATAATATGCTATATTGTAATCATACATGTTATTACCTCACTCAAATTTATACGTTTCGTTTATAGCAAAATTATGATGTAATAATCAGAGATTATAAAAAGGGGAAAGTGGTTCTCGAATCGACAATGTCATCGGATACGTCGGAAAACAATGGATCGAGTAATCCTTCAACAGAAAGAGAGGTCGATGATACTGCACTTTCAGCGCAATATCGGAAGGTTTTTGATAAAGTTTGGGCTGAGATCGAGAAAATAATGGAAGAGATGAGAGAACAGCTCTTCAAACAATTGACAGAACCATGGAGGTCTATGGAGGAACAAGAGAGAACTATTAAGTAAGCAAAATACATTGGTTTTATATATCCTTTATATGAGGTCATCATGAGAAAGGCTATTCATTACTGTCTCAAATACAGTGTACTTCTTGAGCTTGATACGCTTGAAGATCCAATATGGCATTATCTTGATAGTCAATACAAATTCATAATCGATCTTTTAAAAGAATCATACCAAGAGCAACTAAATAAGATTCAAGGTCAATAATTTGGTAAATTAAATCGTCACATCCTTTTAATTTTTGGGTATTTATGAATCGTTTGTGATTATTCATTTAATCAATTAGCATTGAAAAAATCTCTACCGGTTTCTTCCGGCGATACCAAAGAACTTGCGTTACGTCTTAAAAATGCAATAAGGGCTATCAATATAAGAGATTATGATTCCTTGATAGGTAAGAGTTGGTTAACTATCCTTTATACGTTATAATATAAACTTATACTGTTTGTATATAACTAAATATAGCTGGTAAGGATATGGATGTACAAATATGGAAAGCTACTTTAGATGTTGTAAAATCATTATCGGATTTACTTTTGAGATGTTTACCCGATTTTTGGAAATTAAGTAAATCTTTCATGGAAGGAAAATTTCAAAAGGTAAAAGTTTCATAAATTTGATTTTACTTCATTCAGTCATTGAAAATTCTATACGTTCAATTTATAGAGTCCGGCAATTCTTAGCGCCAACAGACGTAGACGCCAAGCCATGGACCTTAGAAAAGTAGAACAATGTCAAAATATGGCCAAAGGTGTAATTGATCTTTACGCATCATTGTTATCAGAGTTCTTTTCCCTTCCACCATTATCTGCCAGTCAAGATAGTGCACATCAAACCTCGTCGTTCATTCCGTTACAATCTGATTCCGTTACCACCTGCTATTTTCTTACAAAGATCCTTAATGGAATGAGCGAATGTGTAAATGATATTAATTCGATTAATATGGCATCGGATGTTTCTTATGCATTGCAAAGATTAATGGAACAAACTAGATGGAAATTTGTAGAAATAATATGTGAGGCATGGAACTCTGGTATGAATAAGCACATTCTTCTGATCTGGTCATTTCAAATTCAAAAGTTGATAACCTATTCATATTTATTTACAGATGCTAAGATATTTTACTTACTAGAGGATTGGTCTCTTGATCAGGATAATCGTGAGATTACCAACTTTTTGAGAAATTTTCATATATTCCACAAGTATAATTCCCGTAGCGCATACAAAATTGCAAGCTTGGGTTACGTTTCGGACGATGATGATAACGTATGTAGAATTGTTTAATATTACCTTGACATAATAATCCATTTACACCTAACCATGTGTAATATAATTTTATATTATTTAAGAAATCATCTAGGATTTCTGATGCATATTTACAAAAAATTAAAGGAGCATTTCTTGACTCTCTGTATGCTTATTTAGATGGATTAGTACATTTGGTGTTTTCAGAGTATACGCCACTTGAATCATGCGATAAAGAACCTACCGAAATTATTCAAAAATTTAAGATTGACCCGAAACAAATAGTAAATAATTATTATATTTTATAAAAACATATGTTAAATAAAGTTGGTTAGTTGACTAAATTTGCTAATAATTTTATTTTTATATTCAATAGGATTCAAGGATTTTACTTACTATTAGTAATCTCGTAAATCTAAAACAGCTTATGATACCCAGAATTGTATCTCAATTTGAGACAGCATATCAATGTAGTCTTGCTGATGATACTCATGTATGAATTTCTTTTAAGCTTGAGCAATGTTACTTTAATTCAATTTTATTTTTAATCTATTGCGAATTTATAACTATTCAATTGTAGACACTTAATGATGTTATAAATCAGCTGGATGGAATATTGTTTGAGGATTACATGAAACGAAGAACTCAGAACATCCGAGATATTGTTGTTAAGGGTATATTATCAGGGGACGTGGATTGGTATAATATATCGAAACCTACAGGTAAATAATTATTACCAATCGATGTACATTTTTAGATTAATAACGAGCTATTTCAATTTTAATCAGAGGTACATTCCTTTGTGTACGAGGCTCTATTGTCACTTGTCATAGTTCATGCACAAGTCAACGATATTGCCAAGCACCTCGTTAATCGTACATTAACAGCGTTGTTAGAAAATATGGCACGAGATTGTCTTGAAGCTTTTCAAAAAGTAGAGAAATTTGGTATGGGTGGTATGCTTCAGGTAATGTCACTAATATTTTTTAGCTCATATTAAATCATGGTTAAAGTTTAATACCTTTTTTTTTTGATAGGCTACCCTCGAAATTGAGTTCATGCACCAAACACTTTCTCAATATGTAAGTAAGGAAGCTCAAGAAACGTTACAACTTATTTATACCACTATTGAACAATTATACGATACTACACAAGCAACTGGCAATTTGGATTCAGAATTAAGTAGTGTAAAACAATTATTAGTTGAGAGTCGTAAAAACACTAGCCTACAATTTTTATGTTTTAAAAAACTAAAATAATTATTAAACTTGTGTTTTAATTTATCTGATATAATTCATACACGTTTAGCATAATTATAATTATAGATTTAAAACTTAATTCTTTTTAACATAGAATTTCTTTTTTTTTTCTTGTGGTATATATGATCAATGTCATTCACCACCTTATTTTGTTTCTGCCTTGATTAATCCGAAATAAAGTTATACGAACATATTTTTAGAATAATATAAAAAACTACATTACTATTTAACATATATACATATGAAAATAAAGTTTGACATAAAAAAAAAACTTTTTTAAAACAAATAAACTGTTTGAGTTAATGGTAACTCTTTAGCAGGTTCACATTGTAAAACTTTACCATCGGCTTTGACAACATAAGTTTCAGGATCAACCTCAATTTTTGGCAAAGAATTATTCAATTTCATATCCTTCTTTCCAATATTTCTACAATTTCTTACAGGCTGAACCTTCTTTTTAAGACCGTAGTTTTGTATCCTAGATTCAGTTATTGAAACATGGCTTACGAATGCGATAGAATTCTTTGCGGCAGCACCACCATAAGCACCAAACATTGGTCTTGAGATAACAGGTTGCGTAGTTGGAATTGAAGCATTCGCATCACCCATTTGTGACCAGACAATTATTCCAGATTTGATTATGACTTCAGGTTTTGTACCAAAGAAGGCCGGAGAGTACATAACAAGATCAGCAACTTTTCCTACTTCAATTGAGCCAACTATGTGGCTTATACCGTTAGCTATTGCCCTAAAATATATGAAAAAATTACATGTATATATCTATGTATATTATCGCTTATTTTAATGTTATAAAAATAAATTGTAAAATAAATAATAACGTACGGATTAATAGTATATTTTGCAACATAACGTTTTATCCTGAAATTATCAGCTGGTCCATCACTATCGGTTCCTAATCTTCCTCTTTGTAATTTCATTTTATGGGCAGTTTTCCAGGTTCTAAGCACAACTTCACCTACCCTACCCATAGCTTGAGAATCAGAACTGATAATACTAATCGCACCCATATCATGTAATATATCTTCTGCTGCAATAGTTTCAGCTCTAATACGAGATTCAGCGAATGCAATATCTTCAGGAATGTTTCTGTCCAAATGATGACAAACCATCAACATATCAACATGTTCATCAAGAGTATTTGCAGTATAGGGGCGTGTAGGATTTGTTGAGGAAGGAATGACATTAGGTTCACCACAAACACGAATAATATCAGGAGCATGACCACCTCCCGCACCTTCGGAATGGTAAGCATGAATAGTACGATTTTTAAAGGCAGCAATTGATTGTTCAACAAATCCTGATTCGTTAAGAGTATCGGTGTGGATATTTACCTTTAAAATTTATTTAAATGGACAAATATTAATAAATATTAAGTGGAAATTTTTTAAAAAATTTCGTTTTATTATTTACCTGCACGTCATATTCATCACACACGCTTAAACATGTATCAATAGCTTTTGGTGTAGTGCCCCAATCTTCATGTAATTTCAAACCCATAACACCAGCTTGAATCTGCTCTTTTAATGCTATTGGATCAGATGCATTACCTTTGCCAGTAAAACCAAAATTCATTGGAATATCATCTGTAGAAGAAAGCATCATTTCGATGTGTGTTGCTCCAGGTGTACAGGTTGTCGCGTTGGTTCCAGTATTTGGGCCAGTACCTCCACCAATTAAAGTCGTGATACCTGATGAAAGCGCCTGTAAATACAAAATAATGCTAATTAGTAAAAAAAAAAAAAAAAAAAAAGAAACCAATGTAAACCATATTCCAAGTTAAAAAAAATAACCTACCTCCGGAATTATTTGAGGACAAATAAAGTGGATATGACAATCGATAGCACCAGCAACGAAAATATGACATTCACCAGCAAGAGCTTCCGTTGTAGCTCCAACGATCATGCCAGGAGTTACGCCATCCATTACATCAGGATTGCCAGCTTTACCAATACCTGCAATAATACCATTCTTGATACCAATATCGGCCTGTTGAAAAATTAATGATTGTATGATCAACAAACAAACAAAGCTAATACAAAGATAAAAATTGTAATTGCAATAACTATATACTTTGTAAATTCCAGACCAATCAATTATCACAGCGTTCGTTATGACCAAGTCTAAAGCCTCAGCGTCCGATACAGAAGTCGATTGACCCATTCCTTCTCTCAAGACTTTACCACCACCAAATTTGCATTCATCACCATATATAGTGTAATCTTTTTCAATTTCTAGCCATAAATCTGTATTACCCAATCTCAATCGGTCACCAATAGTTGGACCATAAATATCAGCATAAGCAGCTCGATCAATTGCATAGGGATTACATGATAAAGATTTATCACTTTGTGGAACATGTTTAAAGCCTTTGTCAATGAGTAATTTGACGAGAGAATCAAGTTTAGAATGGTCAACGACACCGCACGCGAGATCATTTCCTCCAGAAATATATTTCTTTCCACCAATATCAACAAGAGTTACAGTCTTTGTGTCGCCAGGTTCGAAGCGTGTAGCAGATCCAGCGGGAATATCAAGTCTCTTACCATAGGCAAGATGCCTATCAAATGAAAGTGCAGGATTCGTTTCGATGAAATGATAATGCGAGCCAACCTGAATAAAGATTGAATAATAAATATATGAATTCAGATGATAAGCACTAAAAATCATTAGAATTTTACAAAATGGCATACCTGAATAGGTCTATCACCGCAATTAGTAACCTTGACAGCTACCCGATGCCTTCCTTCATTTAATATAATTTTACCTTCTTTAACCACAATAGCACCAGGGGCAGATTCTTTTGCAGTTTCAGAAGTGGGAATGGGGAATTTGGATTGGTCAGGAATCGGTAAAAAGCTCCCGTAAAGAGCAAGTTCCAAGTTACCATCAACAGAAGAAATTGGGTCGTGTACCGTTACCAGATATGTTCCATCCGGGAAAGTACCTTCAACTTGAACTTCGGATACCGTTTCCAAAACATCCGGTTGAACATGACGCCTTCCAAGCATTTGCTTTCCCAAGTTCATTAGGTCAGCCACAGAATTAGTTCCATCTCTCATAAGCTCGATTAATTGGGAAGCAATGAGTGCGGTAGCCTCTGTATGGTTCAATTTTACACCACGAGCGAGACGTTTCTGGGCCAAAAATCCAACTTGGCTAAGTACTAATTTATCAAGTTCACGTGGGACTAACCTCATTATTTTGTAAAACAAGAGTATTACTGGAATATTGAATTAAATTGAAAGAAAAAAAAATTGATTTATTAAAAAAGTAAAATACGAAGGCCTGAAAAACCTTAAAGGAAAATATAATTTTATCGATCATTTTTATATTCGAATTCAAAATTATTGATTAACCTCCTAATTTCCTATATCAGCCATATTCTCATGAACGCAAAAAATAAAATCATTCAATATCGGGATTAATTATAAATAAAGTTCAGATAATCATGAACTATCAACCAAATAGGAGAAAAATATACGTGATACAAGGTACATACATACATGTACAGTACTGCAGTATGTACATTAGTTACTCATTCTCATAAATTGATTATGAGTGTGTTACACTAAAAATAAGCATAAGACTCACTGTGTTTTTCATCAACGATACCACCAATTTACTCACATTTTAAGATGTCATCTCCAAAAGAAGTATGCCATTTCGAGGACCATATGTCCACAGCAGAAACTACACATACTCATGAACATGGGCATTCTCATTCGCATGGTGACCATGGGCATACTCACGAACAATTGGATCATCCTGGTAAATTCGCTGAAAGAGAAATGCCGAAATATATTAATCGTAACTGGAAAGAAAGAGCTTTCACTGTAGGGATTGGAGGGTTAATATCTATTTAGCATTACTTAAATTCAAGGATATAAAAAAAAAATTTGAATTAACAAAATTTAATTTTACTTATGATTTTCAAAGACCTGTTGGTTCTGGAAAAACTGCGTTAATGCTTGCTTTGTGTCGAGCTCTTCGAGATAATTACTCTATAGCAGCGGTTACGAATGATATATTTACTCGTGAAGATACAGAATTCCTTGTTCGTAATAATGCATTACCAGCGGAACGAATTCGTGCCATTGAAACTGGTGGTTGTCCTCATGCAGCAATAAGAGAAGATATCTCTGCTAACATGAATGCTTTAGAAGAACTTCATGCAAAATTCAATGCTCAAATATTGTTAGTGGAAAGCGGTGGTGACAATTTGGCCGGTAAGAAAGAATTGAATTCAGAATTATTCATTTTCGTATAATTACTATCTATTGACATATATAATTTTCATAGCAAATTATTCTCGTGAATTAGCAGACTACATTATTTATGGTAATTATATTTCAATGCTATTTTATGATAATTATATGTCGATATTTTTGACTTATAAATGTGTGTACGTCTATTTTTTAAGTTATTGACGTGGCAGGAGGCGATAAAATTCCTCGTAAAGGTGGGCCCGGTATTACACAATCCGATCTTTTAATTATTAACAAAACAGACCTTGCAGAAATTGTCGGTGCCGACTTGGGTGTTATGGAAAGGGATGCACGTAAAATGAGGTAAGTTTTTACACATTCATCTTTTTTTATGTTTCGACTAGTGAATTGACTCGACACAAAAATCATTGCTCGATCATACCCTCCAAAATTTTTGCTTAATCGATCAAAAATCAATTATGTAAACTTGATCAAGTATAGTCGATCAAGAACATAATTTATAAGTTAGAGTATATTCGATCAATCATTAGGTCAATAATTGAAAAAAAAATTTATAAGTTCGAGTATATTCGATCAATCATTAGGTCAATAATTGAAAAAAAAATTTAAAATAAAATAATAATCGACCATGATATAGCCGAGTCAATTTACTAAATTTCGACATAGCAGCGACGATGTAATTTTTAATTGAAACTATAGAGAAAGTGGTCCAACGATTTTTGCTCAAGTAAAAAATGGTGTTGGTATTCCAGAGATTGTGAATTTAATACTGAGCAGTTGGCGGGCAAGTGGTGCAGTTTAACAGGTTATTACTTCTAAACAGGTATATACCGGATAATTTTGTTTATTACATAAAATTGTATGAAATTTCCCGAGTTGGTTTTTTTTATTTTATACTTTAAATTAAAGCAAATATAACGATCTAAATGTATTAATGTTGATGTTGAATTATGTGCAGCTAATGAACAAGAAAACATTTAAAAAAGTTGAGAATAAAAATATCAGTTGATAAATATATTTAATAAACTATATTGTAAATATTTTGTGTTCATAAGTAAATATATCGTTCAGAGCGAATGGTTACAATGGACAAAATTTAAATAGTACCTTGGGTATAAAAATACCATTATTGATGGATTGTTGGTACTATTCTTGATAAGGTTCTTAAAAAGGCCTCTTAAATACTATACTACTATATCATAAGTATATAAAAAAAATTAGGATTGGGGTTTGGTTTTAGGACCCTATCAGGAACAGTACCAAAATAATTTTTTTTTAAACCCCATTCAAGATCGGAACTGCTGAACAATCAAGAATACGTAGTATTTTTGCACCTGGGTACTTATGGAGTTTCCACATCATTACGATAAACTGTTTTCAATGCAAAATTTAAAACAATGGCATCAAGAAATCCAATAACATTCAAAGAATTTATATCCTTAATGAGTAAAATTCATCTCAGGAAAGGAGAACCACTTGGTACGAAATACTTTCATAACCTTTACCTTCGATATACATAGTTCAAAAGTATTTTAATAAACCTTTTTAAAATCAATTTATATAAAATAGGCGTGGCAGTGTCTGGTGGTGTTGATAGTATGACTCTTGGTTATTTTTTAAATAAGTTTAGCAAAGAATTTAACCATAAATTAACTGCTTTTATCATTGACCATAAATTTCGTCCTGAGAGTACTGAGGAATCTTATAAGGTCGCTAATATATTATCTAAACTTGGTTGGTAAAAAATATATATATATATATTATTCTATGAGCTTCTTTTTTTTTTTTGAAATCTTCTAGATTCAATCATTTAGTTTATTAGATATTGATACAAAAATTATGCCAATAAATTGGGAAACTTCTGAAGAAAGCACCTTTCCTACAATTTCTCAAAAAGAGACTTTCGCTCGTATTGAAAGATATAAATTATTGGCTCGTGGTTGTCATGAAAGAAAAATATCTTCACTATTTTTAGGTCATCATCTCGGTGATCAATTAGAGACTGTTATAATGAGATTAGCAAGGGGTAGTGGAATTAATGGGTTGACTTCAATGGAATATATTAATCGATTTCCAATAGTAAGAAATATTGAGTCATTAGGTATTAATATAATTAGACCATTTTTGAGACTGACTAAGGTATAAGCTTTTTATATATATATATAAGTTAAATCTTATATTAATATTAAATATCATCATTATTTAGAATAGAATAATAGAAACTTGTAAAGCTGAAAATTTCCCATGGTTTGAGGATTCCACGAATTTATCAGAAGATTATAAAAGAAATGTAGTAAGACTAGCATTAAATGATCTTAATCAACGATATTTAGATGGTCGATCCCAATATGAACCTTTATCTACGGAAGGATTGTCAAGATTTATGAACCATATGGATTATCATAAAAATTGTGTGAAATCAAAAGGTGACGAGAAATTTGAACATTTTAATAAGGGGACAAATATTATTATACCCCGGGATTTTAATTTGACCTCCTCAGGGTCAGTTATTTGACAAATCTAAATGATTATAGGTGATAAATAACACCTTTATACTACAAAATATGGGACAAGTTCGAATTTGTCACATATTTTGTAGCCAAATTCGATTTATCACCTATAATCATTTAGATTTGTCAAATAGCTAACCTTGAGGAGGGCAAATTAAAATCCAGGAGGGTATAATAATCTAATATTTGTCAGTCCTATAATTAATCACTGGAATAATAATAATTGGCAATGATAAAATTTTTTAGTTAAAATGATTGCGAAAAATTCGATAAAATTCGATAGTGATAATGGAATTTGTTCGCTTTATTTACCAAAGAATCTTCCGCATGATCACTGGTTCCGTGAAAAATATCTTGGGACTAGAATAATAGCCTTGATTATACGTTGGATTCAGTGTAGTGAACAGGCGCCACGATTGGATTTTGTTCTTCGATGTTATCAACACATAATATCATCATACATATCACATAACCTGTCCAACTTCACTATCCATGGAATTCTATTAAGTCCTGGAAAAATTACTCCTTTTGGAAACATGGACTCTCAGCCTTGGATATTTTTTCGACAACCGTTTAAAGCATCCCATGAAAATGTAATTATACAACAAATAAATTCAGGTGATGTTATTTTATGGGACAAAAGATTTTTTATCGGTTTAGGTAGAAATATACCATTATCATACAAAAACTCCATTTTTAAAATTCGAAGATTCCGTGAGTCTGACATTCACAAGTTTTTCAAGATAAATACAACACTTGAAAGTCAAAGAAGATTTCAATATTATTTGTCACAAGTACCTCCTGTTGGTAGATACACAATTCCAGTACTAATTAGCCAAGATAAACATACAATCTCCGAAATGTTGATGAGTTATCCTACTTTGAATATCATTTTATATCCAGAAATCCATTGTTGGTCTAGATTTCGAGGACAAATTATTTACACGTGATCACATAATAGTCGATTAATAATTGATACCAACATGTTAAAGATGTTTCGAAGTTAACTAATTTCGTCAGTTTTGTTAAATTAGTTTAAACAAATAAGGTGCATTACAAATATGCACGTGATTTGCAAAAAATTTCGATGTATTAAAGATTCACAGGAATCTGACTGTTGGTGAATAAAGTCTGTATTTAGTCTTGTTATCAAAAACAATTTTTATTAATTTTGGTGGGGCACTACCAAATAGCATTGTTAGATATATCGATACGGTTGGTATCTAAGACCCTAACATTACCAACTTAAATTTCATTAAAAAAAATTTACAGCTAAATTAGAATTAGAGCTTGGTATAAAGTTAGGTTAGAAAGACTTTTAATACAAAAATTTTGCAAGGAAAGCTTTTGTTAGTAAACAGAAGGCAATTTCATAGGTAAAATTTTGGTTATAAACGATTTGTTAGTTTTGTTTGCGTTATGCCTTTAAAATACATTATGCCTTATTTGATTGGTTAAAACGGTTTAATAGGTTTAATAATGATATTTTTAACTTGCTTATATAATTAAGTTTCTTTATTTTTCAAATCTTCAAAAAAAAAAACGATCCAGCTTATTAGATAATTCCTTAGCAATTGGCCGGTTTTGAGGTTCTGCGTCTAAGCATTTATTAATCAGATCTAAAAGTAATTGAGGAACTTCGCATCTAAGTTTGGGTCTATAACCTAGACAAATACACATTGCTAGATCATTATTGTGTGGAATATCATGATATGAAGGATATCTAATAAAAACTTCCGACATAATTATTCTGAAGGAATAAATATTTGATTTTTGAGTATATTTCTTTCTATTTGTGTTTAATACTTCTGAAACAATAAATAAAATCACATCAAAAAGTTTCTTAGAATTTGAGTCTTGATACTGGCCTACATAAGCCCAAATCAATAATGTAAAACTGTATGTATTGTGATTAACTATGTTACCGAAATGAAAATCTTTATGCACTAAATGGCTTTGTAAATTGTCTTAAGTTTACTAGCTATGCAATATAAATTGGCTACTTTAAAAGCCCAATTTAATTTATCATATTTACTGTCTAACAATTTTCTGAAACTTCTCTGCTTTGCATACTTTATAACCATTATGTAATATAAACTTTATCCTTTAAATCGTTTTCTAGGCAAATTTGCTTGGATTTTTAAATTAAATTTAGTATTTTTTAAATAACTCAATAAATTATTAATAATATGAAGTACAGTTTACTGATAAATATTTTATTGAAATATATTACAGTCGTCTCTCCATATAATCACCTCCCATACAGTCACAAATTCTATACAATCACATAGTCACAGGTTACTTTTTTTATATAATTAAATAGCCTTCTATATAGTCACAATAAGCTTATAATCACTATTACAGATATATTTATATTTATAAATTTATTTAATAATAAAATCTCTTCTATATAATCACATTTCAAATAAATTATAAATCTGTGCATTTTATAATTACTAGCGTATGATCTGTGCTTCCAGCTATAGGTACAAAAACTTGGTTGGTGACACAACCTTTTTGTAGCATCCACAGTTGTAACTAGAGATGTACCACATGTGAGATAATCTTAGCATTTATTCACATAACTCATGCAAGGTTACATTGTGTGATTTTGTGTAAGGTGTGTTTAATTTTTAATTTAGAATAAGAAGTATTAAAATTAAAATTAAGAATCTTATTTTATTTTCTGATTTACTAATTATTAAAATTATCTTAATCGAATGATTTACCTTGTGTGAGTTTGATATCACCTCATGCAAGGTATGTGAAGTTGTGGATATGAGAATTTTGCACCTTGTGTGAGGTACATCTCTAGTCATAAAACCACAACTAATATTTGTAATATTGACTTATGTTGTAATTTCAGATATGTGTTATAATATTTGACAATACTAATCATTGTCATCAATATTAATTAAAAAAATATTAAAGCTGGTCTATTTAAAATTCTTTCAAAATAGATCTACAACATAATAAATCTTTAAAATTTTTACCAATGAAATAGGTCACTAAAACAAGAATGATTTATAAATTGTTCTTTATTAAATAATTTATTATTCTTGAAAAAAAAAACTTTTCATTTAAGATGTATGTTAAAAATAAAGATTACTAACAATTTGCACTCACTTTGATTCATAGCACTTATAGATAATGTGTTTAATAACTAGCCAGTTGAAGCCTGAAAACAGATAGATAATATATGCTATTAGTAATATAGATTAATTAAATATATGTTCTTGTAAAAGTAAATAAAACTTTGGATTTGTTTTAATGTAAACAATTATAATAAAGCTGCTTTTATTATGTTAAATACAGTAATTGTTTAATTTTCAATTCAATGCTTAAAACAATATCGATATAGAGTTACTAGAATTCACTTTGTTGATTAAAAACATATTGGTGATTTATTTACAACTTTTAATTTGTTGGTTTTTTTTTTAAAAAAAAAATAAATTATTTTATTTTTCAAGAAAATTTAATTGTATTTATCAATACTAAATTATCATGTCTATTATCCAAGTTATAGCCAAAAACTTGGGATTTTTGCTAGAAAAATGACCCTCCAAGGCTATTTTGATTTTGTGAATAAAAATTAAAATTGCCAGTCATCTAGTTAACCAATTTGAATGAACTTTTTTTTGTTTTGTGAAGCTAAATAAGCTCTACAAAATAAAAAAAAAATTATTCAAATCAGATAACTAGATGACCAACAAATTTAATTTCTGTTTACAAAATCTACATAGCCTTAAAAAGTCATTTTGGCTATTATGACATATGCAGTTATGACACTTTTGATCTTTTTTGATGTAACTATACATTCTTAAGTTTCTGCGTCTATACTTCTAGTATGTAAAGCTGTAAAATTACTGGCATTTTACATAATTATGTAAATTTGTAGTTATTGTTATATAATTTCAATTTTGAATGCATAATGCCTTTGTAATAGAAAAAGTTTGGATTTGAAAATATGATTTGGAGATAATCATGCTTATTTTGTTCAAATTGATCTGAATTTAATTAAAATTTTGGATTAGTAATTATTTAGTTAATCTTGTGACGATGAGCCTTCTTGTATATCTTAATTTTTTTATTGATAAATGTGTTCTGTGCTAAATTTTATCTGAATTTTGCAAAACCAAGTTTTGATTTCTCATAGTTTTAGAGACCAAAATTCTTGATGATTGAGAAGTTATAATGTGAATTATATATTCAAATCGAGTAATGCAATAATGCAGGTTGAATATTTGTAAAGCTGTACTATATATACTGAGTAGATGAAAGTAACTAGACAGGGATCTTTTTTACTGTCTCTGCTAATATTGAATTTTGTAGTTATTTATTATATCTACATAATGCTGATATAATGTTAGAATAATAATCAAAATTAATTAGCAATTAAAAAAAGGTCACTTTTTACCTATCTGGTATAACGTGAAGAAGCTTAAGTAAAATTATATATAATATAAGATTATAACTTACATAGCATAACATTACTAGCATTTTCTTTAAAATTCAGTTTAGAATTTATCAGATTTATAATCAGCCAACATTTTACTGATGTATCCTATTTGTTAGATAGAAGGATTGTATAGTTATTTTGTATAGGTATATTTGGCTGATATTATAATACTAGTTTAAGTTCTAATCTAGAAATTTAATAATTGTTTTTTTAAAGATTTCAGGTTAGGATTTTTAGTGCTATAGATAATAGTTCATGCTACCTATCTTATTTTAGATTTTTACTATTTTACTTTTCATACTTGTGATTTTTTCACTCTCTTCCTGGTATTTATATTTCACCAAGTTTTCATAAATTTATCTTTCTATTCTATTTTTGGTATTCATGATCACATGATTTCTTACTTTTCAATATCTTATTGCATTTTATTTAGTAGGTAAACAGCTAACGCTAATTTATTACTGTAATCAAATAACTCTAGTGATTTGTTAAATATCATGATATCAGCACATGTCTATGATCATTTCATTCTCTTCTCTGATGAATAGTGATATTATTATTTCAAGTCTACAAAAAATAGCACATATTGTAATTGAGATAAAAATCTGTTTTATGAAGCATTGCTATTCATCACTTTATATGTTACTCAGTACTGGCATCATAAATATTATTCAACATCTGCACTTTTTTATTATTCAGTTCTTCTTTATTATTAAGATACTGATTATCTATAAATTGAATCAATAAATAATAGTGATAAGAGGGCTCAAATGTAATTCACACAGTTTTTGCAATGTAACATTATAAGAGTTAGGATCTTTTCATTATAAACAGGTTTATAAAATTTATAAATATGCTTCACAATTATAATATATGCAAAGGGTTCAATCAGGAAATTACAATACAATTATGTATCAGATAAATAATTTTCAAGCAGTACTATGAAATGTAAATTATTTGGAATCACAGATTTGAATTTCAAAATTTATATGAGTTTCCATTCAGAGATTTTGACATTATTACAACTTGAAAAGGCTAAATATCAAATTTAGTAAACAAGAGATTGATTCAGAGTTATTAAATCTTAATTATTCTCGTATTGTGTGAATTTGAGATTCAAATCATTTTTGCATTGATAATAAGAGTTTACTAAATAAAATTAAAGCTTGTTAGTAACTAGAATTTTTAAATTAAGCATTGATAAAATAATTGTTATTTTTTAAAACAATATTATGCCAAGCAAGTAAATGTTTAAGTCACTAGTTTTAGTTTTGCATCCAAATATCAGTAGATTAGATCTTATGTTATTGTACTTTAAATATAAAAAAAAATAACTATTTAATAAAGTAAAAAATAAAATTTTAAATATCTACAATGTTATACAAAATGTCTAAAGATTTATTACAAAAAAGATCAAGAACAGCTGTTAGTGAATATTTAAAGTGAAAAATATGTAAATATAATAAAAATAATCCTAATAAAACACAAACAGATATTGCAAAACACTTCAATTCTCAAGATCTTAACTTAAATTTAGATTGTTTTACGATTTCTAAAATTTTAAGAGATAAATCTAAATGGTTAGCTATTATGAAAAATCAATTAAATTCTATGATTTTTCGATATAAACAAGTGAAATATCCTAAATTAGATCAATCTATGAGACTATGGATTGAACAAATTACTAATGAAGAAATGATTCTAACAGAATTAATGATTAAAGAAAAAGCAATCTATTTTGCAAAAGCCTTGAATTTGGGTGATAATGCTTTAAAATTTTCAAACAGTTGGATTCAAAAATTCAAACAATATAATAATCTTAGGAATTTTAGATTGTATAAAGAAGCAAATAGTGCACTATTATCTTCACTCCCAGAATATAGACAAAAATTACATGAATTAATTGAAAAATATATATTAGATAATATGTTTAATGCAGATAAAACAAGGCTCTTCTTCTGTATGGCACCAGATCAAACACTTGCATCACGATCAAGACCTAGGTTTAAAAAAGTTAGCTAAATATAATACTAAATTATAATTAAAGTTAATTATAAAGTTGTTTCTTGGTTTTCATAACATAATATTAAATCATATATATAATGCAAATCATCTATATATATATGTAGTCATATTAAAATCTGTATCACTTAACTACTAAGTAATTAAATTTATTAGCTTTTGAAAATTTTTTTTTTTTTTTGAATTGTATTTCCCCAAAGAATAATGAAATTTTTCAAAAAAAAATTTAACTTTGTAGGCCTTGTTTAAAACTGTAAAGTTATACTTTTATTTTTGCAAATTTCTAAATATTCGTTGAATTATAGTTTTGGATATTTTTAAATAATTTGCACTATACAAATTTTATGAAAATTTTTAAAAAATCAACTCAGATATTAAGATATATAAAAAATTTTTCAAATTTTAATTCAGCTAAGTTATGACAACCAATTAATTAATTTTGTATGATCTTAATTATTATTTTTAAAAACTAACCTTAAATGTTAATTAGAATCATTCATGGGTTATGATTATGCTAGCATGTAATGCAACTGGAAATGAAAAATTAAAGCCATTAGTAATTGGGTTTTCAATCTCTACTGTGCACTTTTTTGTGTTAATTATAATTATTTACCTGTTGTCTATCATGCAAATTTTCAAGCTTGGATGTGAAATAACATATTTTCTGAATAGTTAAAAGATTTAGATCAGATATTTCAAATTCAAAATCATCAAGTTTTATTATTAGTAGATAATGCTGCTTCACATTTTCATGATCAATCCAATATTAATAACTCATATAAGTTAGATAAATCAAATTCTGATTCAAATAAAATATCTGATAATGATCTAGCATTCAAAATGCCAACTGTTTTACATGAAAATTACCAAGGATGAAGTCAACTAAGACTAACTAAAACCAATCAGAGTGCAAGTAATAGTTGTGGTAATCATGGTCATGGTCATGGTATTAGTAGTAGTAAGGGTTGTTATGATAGCAGTTATAGTCATCTATATACTATACCTAATTATTCAAATGTAAAATTAACTAATATTAAACTTGAATTTTTTACCACCAAACACCACTGCCCATTTTCAGCCAATGAATGCGAGCATTATCAAAAGTTTCAAGTTCAAATATAAGCAAAATATATCTGATATATACTAACACAATTTGAGAATAACAAGGATTTAACAAAGTAAAAACTTACATCTTAATTATGCAATAAGTTTTTTTTAATTAGCCTAGGTTAAAGTTATCTAGCACATTGCTAATATATACTAGAGATGTGATCTGGATTTATTTTTTATATGTAAAAATCAGTTTGAACTGATTTTTACAATAAAAAATAAATCCATATTGCACCTCTAATATATACTATTAATTTAACTATGTAAAAAAATTTTATAGCTTATCAGTTGACTTTAATCTAGATGAAAATAAAATTATTATTATTATTGTTTTTTTTTTAAATTACTAATTAATTTTAATTTCAATTAGAAAAAAGATAAATATAAAAGATGCTATCTACTATATATCTGAGTCTTGGGATGCTGTTGGAAATCAAACAATTATTAATTGTTAGAATAAAACTGAAATTTTGTTATTGGTTTTACATGAAGAAATTGAAGTCACTATTAATAGTCAAGATATATTGTTGGAGTAACAAGATAATGATGTCAATGCATTGGTAATAGATTTGATGTTTCAAAACCCAAGTTCAAAAATAAAAAATTCAATTGAATGAATATTTAGATCTCAATAATTCATGTATTATAACTGAAAATAAACTTGAAGATTCTAAAATTGTTAAAATAGTTTTGGATAAAGAAAATCAACATAAAAATGGAGATTCAGATGATTCAGATGAAGAAGAACCAGAAATTCTAATATTAGAGAGTTTAATGAGTTTAAATAAGTTTGTTTATTTTTTTGAACAACAAACTGATACAGATTTCAAAGCTAAGGATCTTAAAATATTCCAAAAATATTTAACTTTAGTAAAGTGAAAATATAATAAATCTAAATGCCAAACATTTATTGATAATTTTTTTATGCTCTTAAATAATAATATTATATTATAACATATAATTTTTTTTATTTTTTTATTTATTTTTTTTATTTTTTGGTTTTTTATTTATATTTCAGTAATCTTATTAGTATTAGCAAAAAAGGTTATAACTACTTAAGTGATAATTAAATATAAGTTATCATTATATGATTTATAATAAAATATTTAGAACAAATCTTTTTTTTTTGCAATTTGACTACTTATAGCAAGTTCATTGTATCGTAATATTTGTGCTAAAAGAAATATAAAAGTTTTTTTAAATATTAAGATGAGTACTTGTGACCCAGGATTTTATTGATAGTACATTTAGCTAATAGTTGCATTACAACCACAGAGGGCAATCATGAAAAGAGTGTACAACTAGCTACTCATACAACTTTAGTCATTGTCTAATTTAAGTAGTCTACCTGAAGGTTCTATACT